CATTGGTGAAGGACATGGCTGTCAGGTAAACCACAAAGGTGGTGATAGAAAGGTGGCAGAATATTGGCGAGAATATTTTGGGTTCATAACATGGAGAGGAGAATGCTGACCATTGTTCTCCTTGGCGGATTGAAAGCCAGTCTCAGAATGTCCAGAGCGATGGTGGGCCTTCTCCTAGTGGCCAGAAACTGTGAAAAAGAAAGCTGGCATCGAAAGGCATAGGAAGTGCTCAGAAATGATCCTGGGAGAAGAGAAGGTGATGAGGAACTGGGCGGGGGTGGGGGGTGGGGGTGGGGTGGGGAGGGGGGGGGGTGAGGGGGGACTGGCACGGTAAAGAGAGCACTCTCTGGTCAGCTCAAAGAAGGGACTTACTTGAGCAACTGGTGAAAATGATGGGTCACAACTGAAGACTAGAGCAAAGAAGTGTGCACAACACTCAACAGAAACACGAGACTGAGGTGTATTTGATGGAAAACATCGCCAACAGCCGAAAGTAGTAGGAGAAGAACAGACACAGTCCTCAGTGGAGGTGGAGCGGTTGCAGCCACCTCAAAGAGGAGGCAGCTTTCCGGGTTCTGAGTCCTACTTCCACATTTCTCACCAGAGGCTGCTCGGTGAACTAAATGTACCAGAAAAGCACTGTTCTAAAAGACTCGATGTCCAAGATCGGCAGTGATTTTATAAGTGCCTGTAGCCTCTTTCAGTGTGTCCAGGTGTGTCAGAGCAAGGTGGATGATGCCCAGCGATCTCGAGATAAATTGTAGGTGATGTCATGAATCCGTTGTCAGTAATGTCTGAGGAACCACTGGATTAGAACACTGGGTGCAGGCAACTACTGATCCTGGCTTCCCACAGGGTGGCTCGGGGGGGAAAGTGACTTCGCTCGGGGGTGAATTTCAGGATGCATGCCAGAGTGAATGATTGACTAGACAGTCCAGGAGAAGTGCGTTCTAAGAGGAGGTTGCGGGCCCAAGAAAACTAGACTCATTGCCTTTTGACATACGATTTCTAGGCCGAGGATTCGATCCGCGTCAGAGACACTGTATGTGGTGATTTTGGAAGGCTTTTCTTGGCTTCCTCTTTATGAGGCCTGGGTAGGATACGCACTGAAGTAGGCAGCTACTAACGGGAAGGTGGGCTGTTTCAATCTACCCAGGGACCCTCAGAAGAAAGTCCTGTGGATCGGGCTCCGTGAGCGGAGACTGATGTGATGATGCCTGCTGTGGTGTAAGCTCCCTCCGCAGATGTGGCTCGGTGAGGCTGAAGAAGGATGTGCCCTTACACGTGACTGAACCGATGAATCCAGAGTTGATTATTTTTTAACGATTTATAGTGCTCCGCTTGGCTTATTTTGTTCGCTATTTTAATTAGCAATTTATGTAGAGACAGAAGGCAATGTTTATCATGTTTGCAGATAATAGAGTTTAGAGGAGAAAGTATCTTGACAGGGTTGAGTGCAGATATGAAATTTCGTAAGGATGATAAGGTTCAAGGAGGACACATGGGGGAATGGGCTTTTGTAAATGTCTGGGTGTTTCAGTGGAGTGCAACTCGATGAGTCAGAGGTGATTTTTCTCTTCGTTCTGAAGTCTGCTTTCATAAGGACTAATTCTACTTTTAAAAACAGGTGGCAACAGGCCACAAGCAACAAATAGAAAAAATCCCAAAGGTCACTGTTTCTTTTGACTAGCTCTAAGTACATGATTAAAGTTTGGTTCTTTAAGCCCTGTTTCCAAACATCATTCCAATAGCACTGTAATTGCATCAGATACCCACACAGGGACTATTTCCCAAAGCATATGCTACCAAATAGATATTACTCAAAAAGTACTTTCAACACTTGAGATGATGCCAAGAACGCAATAATCACATGAAACGCCTGTATTTTCAGGCTGACTGCCTTAGTTTCCCCTCTGACTAATGAAATCCACTGTCCTTGGGTCCATTCCGACTGACAGTGACCGTACAGGTCACAGCAGGATGGCCCCTTTGGGTTCCCTAGACTTTTAAATCTTTATGGAAGCAGGCAGCCTCCTCTTTCTGCCTGCCTGTGGAGTGCAGGGAAGTTTGAACCACAACCCACTTCACCGCCAGGGCTCCTTTCCCCTGCTACAGAGGGGTGTGCACTGCCTGCTCCTATCACTCAGAGGGTGGCATTCAAGTGGCAAGCCCTCTGGAGGGACATTCTCTAGCATCTCTGCTCTTCTTTCTAGGCCGCAGCTGAGGATGGAGTGAAGTTTACATGCCCTTTACTACAGCACTAGCGGGTGGGTTGGGGACTTACCACCTAGAGTTTCCATTAACTGCTCTGGGGAGGGCTCTGGGTGGTTCCTCAGGAGAGTATAGATGCTCATCACCATTCCAGGGGTGCAGAACCCACACTGGGTGCCGTGGCTTTTCGCAATCCTCTCCTGAAAGAAGAGAACACAGGCGTCTAGGCGTCTGACGGAGTGGAAGCTGACGGGCTGAGCAGTCAGGGGCTCCCACACCAAGCAGAGGCTTCTGAACGGCCCAGCTAACGGCGGGCACAGGTTCCAGGTGTCAAGGAATGATTTCTGGACAGAGGTTCCACGGAGGTCACTGGGAGAAGGAATCCTCTGTGTCCATTCAGCACATCACTCCAAGGGCACAATTTGGATATAATTGAGACCACAGAAATGGACATGACTTACGTTCATTTTTGTCATTTCCCTCAGCCTGCCTTCAGTCGGCAAAAAAGAAGGGAGCAAAGACGTGTGGAGGGTTTCTTATAAGGACCCCAGTCCATGGAGAAAGCTTTAGCGTTTCCACCTTCCATTTCCTAGTCTGATCTTTGAGGGTACGGGTGTTCCGTTTCTTTGGGGCATTTCTACTAAAGATACTTTAGCACATGCATTTTTTATAAGCCAGCACACATTCACTTGGTCCCCAGACCGATCGAGGCAGCTGGAGTGCCTCTGGGGGAACCAGGGGACCGGCTGGAGACAGAGGACAAGCAGGTAGTGCCGCTCTTTCCCCTCTGCCTTTTGGTTCAGTGATCTGTCAGCAGCGTTTACAGAGCACCAATTCTTTGCAGAGTGGGGAGATATTTTTAAAGTAAATAAGGCATAATCCTCACCCTCAACAAGTTTATAAATTAGTTGTGAGTTAAGGAGCTAAAAGAAAGAGAGGAGACAACCATGAACTTGAATGAAGACTTGATGGGCAACAAATAGCAAACAAAAATACTGAGGTCCCTGAATGGATTCTTCAAGCTGAATTAGCCACATGTTTACTCACACAAACCAGGTACAGAATATGCGACCTTGTTTTCCTCCATCTTCCATGTAAATCAAGGTACCTGTGAATGTTCCCTCCCATGTCTTTGGGCAGACTCAAAGCATCCCTGGACGGAGACCTCCATGAAGCAATGAGAGGCTCTGAAGTGTCCCAGGGTGTGGGCCACTTCTTCCTCACCACTCCACCCCCATTTTTTATGGAAAGAGAAGCTTCGAATAATCATAAAGAAAACCACAGAAGTCAAAAGGAACATTGAAAAAGGTTACCATTTCTAGCAGTGAATGCCATACCATCTTTGTTTGGAGCTCTGCTAAGCTCTGGCCTGGACAACTGCCAAAGTCACCTAAGGATATGCTTGTCCGAAACTTGTTAGGACTGTACGCTCTCACCTGTACGGGGTGAATCCTGGTTTTGGTGCTTCCAACACCTTCCACGGTGGTGATGGCGGCCCCGTAGAGAGAGCAGATGGGCACCAGGCAGGCAGTGACGGAGAAATGACTTCAGAGTTTGTACAAAATGAAGCAGAAAAAGGTTGGAACAGCAAGCAGAAACAGAAAAGAAAAAAAAAGTATTTAGATGATTAGAGTCATCATTACTTTGACATGGATATAATTAATTGCATGCACATTATAGCTAGACCATCACGTCAATTATTTTGAATTTAAGTTGGCTCTCTAAAAATGAACATTCTGTTACTTGGAATTAAGAAAGTCATTTTTATGAATATATGCCAGGAATAGCAATGTCTTCTTTTTAGCCTCTATTCACTTGTTCCTTTTTGCAGCTTGTCAGTTGTGGTGGCGGGTCCACTAATAAGGCTGGCACCCTTTGATCACCTGTGATCTGATAAGAAGTCAGGCAGAGTGGGTGGGGGGAGTTAAATGACACTGTCTGAAAGGCAAGTCAGTCAATAATTTCACCAGTGTGTAAGATCCATGTTTGGGTGACTCAGGGATACAACTCTTGCTTTGATTGGGTTCCATTTCCAACCCATGCCCTTCATGCCCAATCTGTCAGCGAAGCCTACGTGTTGCTATGACGTGGACAGATTCTAGGGGAGCTTTCAGAGGAGCATGACCTGGAAGTAGATTGGCTCAGGTGTCTACTTCTGAAAATCGCTCAGCCAAAACCCTAAGGACCTCAACAGTGGATGGCAGGGGGCTGGCAGCATTTCCTCCTGGTAAGCACGGGGTCTCCAGGAGTAGAGAGCTGACTCAAGGGCAGCTAACAAGTGACAGGAGGAGTTGATTGTTTCCTCCAGTATCCAGCCTGCCGAATGCACTTATTGTCCCTCTCAAGAGGGGAAAGGGCAAAGTTGACTTTGGTCAGGAATGTGACCATCTATCTTCAGAGAATTCTTTAGGAAGGGTGGGGCAGCAGGCTTTTAGATGTGTCCCTGGGAGATTGCCTAAGGCGGAGAATCTGGGCTTTACAGAGGGACCTGGGGCTCAGGCACTAGGAATTTAGTTAAATGACAAAACTCCCTGGGAGCCAGTTTTGTGTATTTGCAAAACAAGAATACTAAGAACAATTGTGCATCTGACAATCAGAATCTGCACAGCAAACCTCTCCTGAACTAGTTGACATATGAAGATTCCGTTTTAAAAACACCTGTAAATGTACTATTCCTACCACTGGTGCATTTTATTCCTTGTCAATCTAGAAAATTGTTTATTGTTGTTTCAGCTCAGCTTCCTTTGTTGAGTGGGGTACCAGCATAAAAGGCAATCTTGTGGGAGATGAACAATGGAGTTACAAATTCTAGGCTTGGAGGAAGGATACCGGATTTTTTCAGCGATGGCATCGTATCTAGAGATCATCACTGTGCAGGCGCCACAGTCCCCTCCTCCACAGCCGTACTTGGTCCCTGTGAGTCCAACTGGAAGGGCCACAGTTAAGGAGAATACAGGAACTTGAACCTTCATCCTTAAGTGTTCACACATGGGGAGAATGACTTCCTTTTCAGGAGAGCTACCATCCTTCTTGAGATACCTGGGATACAT